AAAAACGGAACTTCCCTGGTGGCGCAGCGGTTAAGAATCCGCCTGCCAATGCAGGGGACACAGGCTCGAGCCCTGGTCCGGAAAGATCCCACATGCAGCGGAGCAACCAAGCCCATGAGCCACAACTCCTGAGCCTGCGCTCTAGAGCCCGCGAGCCACAACAACTGAGCCCGCGCCCAGAGCCCGAGCCCCGCAGCAAGAGAAGCCACCGCAGTGAGAAGCCCTTGCACCGAACGAAGAGTAGCCCCCGCTCACCGCAACTCAAGAAAGCTGGCACACAGCAACGAAGACCCAAAGCAGCCAAATAAGTAAATAAATAAATAAAACAAAACCCAAAGTTATTAACTGACCCTGCCTTCTACAAACACTCAGCATCAAACTGCCCAAACCAGAAACTTGGGATCCTTGTCTTCTTCCTTACTTCTCCATTCATGCGTTTAATTTCTGTCCCAGAGTGATAGTTCCAAGGTATAAATCTGATGATGTCACTAACCTGCATACAACTTCAATGATTCACAAGTGCCCTCAGAATAAAGTCCAACTTCCTTAGGGTGGTATGCCCAGCCCTTCATGATCTGGTCCCCATTTACTTCTCCAGCCCCATCACTTGCAACCTTTCTCTCACCCCTGCTCTCTACCTTCTAACACTGTGCCCTAAAATCTATGCCTCCACCGTTCTGCACATGGACCTGCCGTTTTTCAAACGTGCTGTCCTCTCTCTTACCTCTCAACTTGCTGTTATCTTTGCCCTTCCTGGTGCTGGCTAATAACTCCTGTTCTTCAGGTCCTAACTGAGACAGCACCTCCTTGCCTGACTCCTCAGGCTGGGCGGGTGCTTCTTCTCTGTGCTCCCAGAACACTCTGAGCTGTCCTTCCTCCCAGCCTGATAGTGGAGAGCAATTCTTTGTCATTGTCTACCTGCTCCTCCGGACTGAGAGGAAGGTGGCAAGTGCTTTGGTCTTCCCATGGCCCCAGCCCCTAAATGCTACCTAGAACAGAGGAAGCTGCTGCTCCACAGATCTCTGTTCAACGAAAAAGTTTGTTCTAACAAGTTGCATCCTTCTCCTTCCAACCTCAGGGGTTCCATTTCCCAGCAGCAACTGCAGGGCCTGCTGGGAGATGGGGAGGGATGCTGGTGACCTCTAGGTGGTGAGCTCTGATGGCCTCTCACCAGAAGAGATGAGGAAGGAAAGGGGCAGTGAGAGACCTTCGGATTCTCAGCAGTAACATGTAACCCTGCAACCTTCTCCACCAGATTCTGCCTCCCCCCTCGGACTCTGCCTCCCCTCTCGGACTCTGCCTCCCCTCTAGGAGGCCGCCGCAAACTCCACATCAGACTTCAGAAGTCCCCTCCAAAGTGACCTCAGGCTTCCCCAGGCGACCCTCTCAGCCTCGGACTCCTCCCTCAGCATCCCCTCTCAGCCTCGACCTCCTTCCCCTTAGCCTCCTCCCTCAGGCTCCACCTCCTTTCCTCTTAGCCTCCTCCCTCAGCCCCGACCACCTTTTTTCAGCCTCCGCCCTCAGCCTCGACCTCCTTCTCTCAGCCTCCTTCTCTCAGCCTCCTCCCTCAGTCTTTCCCCAACGCCTCAGCCTCCCCCCCTCAGATCTCCTCGGCTCCCTCTCCCAGATGCCGCCTAGCCCGGCCCCGCCCCCGACCCCGGCGCGAGGACTGTGCTCACCGTCGTAGTAGTAACAGACTTTCCTCCTGGTGCCCTGAGTCTGCGCCATCTTGCTCGCCTCCCGTCCCTCCCGTCAGTCTGTCCGTCCACCCTCCCGCCCGCCAGCAGCTCCGCTCAGCGTCAGACCCAGCAGAGAGGGGGCGGGCCTCCAGTGCGTTCCGCCCGTCCCCGCCCGGGCTCACCTATAGCCGCGCAGCCCGGGCACCGCTCCAGCCAATCAGAGGCGCCGGGACGGCCCGGAACTCGGCGGGGGACAAGGGCAGCCCGGCGAGGCCTCGGAGGGCCCCCTGGGCCTGTACCAAGGTCCGCGACAGGGGGTGGGGCTGCCCCAGGACCGTACCATTCGTCCCGGGGGAAGAAAGCCGGACTGCAAACTTCGCTGTCCCATTCGGCTTTGGGAGAGTGCTTGGAGATCAGAGACCAACTTTGTCATTTGACAGAGGCCTACGGTGGAAAGTGACTTGCGCAAGGTCACTCAGCTGAGTTTGGAGCAGGAGAAATAAATTGACAAAGGACAGGAAACTGCTGTAGGCCAAACGCTGTGCAATAGCTTTACCGACATTACCTCAGTCATCTCCATTATTCTTCACGACGGCTCTGGAGGGGGCCTTTTTATCACCATTTAACAGACAAAGATAACGAAGTTCGGAACTTTGTGGCTTCCTCAGAGTCACACAGTAATTACGTTCAATTTTCAGTCGTAATTTTTTGAATGCCTACTATGCATCAGAGGCACATTAAAAAAGTGGCAGAACCCAGCCTTTCTTACTCCAAAGCCTACGTCCCTGATGCAGTCACCTAGGAGAACTGAGTGCATTTAGATGGGAGGAAACTGATTGTCCCCTTATACTGGGAGCAGAGTTTCTCAGGATACTGAAGCTATTGGTATTTTGGATGATTCTTTGTTGTAGGGGACCGTCCTGTGCACTGTAGGATTTTTAACAGCATCCTTGGCCTCTCTTTATTAAATGCCAGTAGTACCCTGACCCACCCCCAGCTGTGACAACAGAAATTGTCCTCAGACGTGGCAAAATGTCTCCAGGGCAAGGGGGAGGGGATTGGAAGGAGTGTAAAAGTGCCCCCCACCCTACCCTTGAGAGCCACTGCACTAGATCAGTCATCAACTAATCATTATTGAAAGCTACAGACTGAAAAGCACTGTGATGCGCTATTAAAATAACAACACAGGGCTTCCCTGGTGGCACAGTGGTTGAGAGTCCCCCGCGTACTGCAAAAAAAAAAAAACCAACTACAACAATATTAATATTTAGTAAGTGCTTACTATGTGTGAAGTAAGTTACTCATGATCCTAGAGATCTATAGGATCTATAGATATATGTTTTATGCCTCTTTACAGCTTAAAGACTGCTTGGGCACTTGTGTTCCTCACCTGGGAACTGCATTTGGGCCACTAATTACAAACGTAACAGATCTAAGACTGGGCACTTCTATTATAGAAGCAGCAAAAGACCAGGGAATAAACCCTATTCCCAGTTCTGTGTTGCTGCTTCCTAGCCAGGAACCTTTCTGGGCCCCCATTTCCCTCTTAGTAAAATGGAGAGTGTAAGAAAACAAAGTTCACCAACTCTGTGGCTGCAGCAGTGTCCAAAGGAGGAGGAGGGTGGGGATCAGATGAGGTCATGGATGTGGCAGCATTTTACAAAATGCAGAACAGGAATCACAAACTCAGACGCCTGCAGAGGTCACGCAGGTGATGTAAATGAGTGGATTTATATTTATATTGGTTTGATTCAGGTACTTTGCTTGTTTTTAATATTGGATTCTTTTTCACTTTCTAAAGAAATATGTCCTTCTCCCCATCTTTCTTCAAACACACTGCCATCTTCAGGGATCTTTAATTTTCCCACTTTTTAATGGAAATGTGGGTGCAAAAAAATTTTTCATTTTCCTCTTTTTATAAAAACAACAGCATGAACATGATGATAAATAACCACTAACACTCAGATTCATTGTCTGGGAACAATAGGGTGTGAAGGGGACTCTGGCAATGGGAGAGCTCATACCCCACCTGAAGGCATTAGCCACTTATTCAGCTCCATGAGGACAGGTAAGCCCAAAAGAGCCAAATCTTCCTATTTTTTTCAAGAGGAGGCAGAAATCTGGAGTTTTATGCAAAACTACCTCAGTTTTATAAACTGACTGCTAACTCAGTCTACTTTCAAGACAGCAGTAAGAGCCATCCTTTTAAAATGTAAGTCAGCTCAAGTCATGGCTCTGCACCCTGCAAAGGCTCCTCAAAATGGCTCCTGCAAAGGCCACAAGGCCCCAGGCCCCATAGGATCTATCCCCCTCCCTCAGGCTACCTTTACCTCTCAGATCTTGCCAGGCAAGCTTCTGCCTCAGGCTGTTCCCTCTGCCTGACTGCTCATCCTGCATACAACGTGGCTCAGTCCCTGACCTTCAAATCTTTGCTCAAAATTCACCTTCTCAGGCTTCCCTGGTGGCGCAGTGGTTGAGAGTCTGCCTGTCAATACAGGGGACGTGGGTTCGTGCCCCGGTCCGGGAAAATCCCACATGCCGTAGAGCGGCCGGGCCCGTGAGCCATGGCCGCTGAGCCTGCGCGTCCGGAGCCTGTGCTCCGCAACGGGAGAGGCCACAACAGTGAGAGGCCCGCGTACCCGCAAAAAAAAAAAAATTCACCTTCTCAATGAGACCTTCCCAGACCACCCTCTTTAAAACTACAAACCTCCCTCAAACATGACATTCCTAATTCCCCTTACCTTGTTTTTTTCCCCTTAGCACTATCACCTTGTAGCATACCATACCATTTACTTCTTTGTGATGCTTACTGTCTATCTTCCTTTACACAGTGTAAGCTCCAGAGATTTTATCTACTGCATATCCTATGAGCCCAGAATCATGCCTAGCACACAGTAGATGTTCAATAGATATTTGTTAGGTGAGTGAATAAACTCAACGTTTAAAAACACCTTGAAGGTGAATCAGAACATATCTAAGGTCAAATATAGTCCTTGAATCAGTAGCTCTCAAAAATGCTGTTGCATTTATATAATGGGAGGGGGGAGTGTCTTGGGACACAGCTACTCTCTAGGAGGTTCTGGGTAGGGGTTGCCCATAATCCTTTGGGGTGGGGGTTTGAAGGGGTTCAAAGAACCCATACAGCAAAGTATAGGGACCTCTTCTTGGCCCCCAACATCAGCAGGGCTGGAAAAAGTTCAGACATCCCTTCACCCCGTCTTTCACCCCAATTCAGGGTGCCCCAGTTTCCATCTTCTGAACGCTCACTCCCCACTCCCAAGGAAAAGGAGATTGGAGTGGGGAGCAGAAAGATGTGCAATCTTCACCAAGAGACATTTATTGAGCTCCTTATGGGTGCCAGGCACCAAAGAGGAGCGCACAGAGGTATTAGATAAGGTTCCGGCCCTCAAGGAGCTTCTTGATGACCAGGGGAAAGGAAAAGGGGGTGGAGAGAAGCTGGTGTCAATCACAGGCCTCTCTCCTTTCTTTGGTGGTCTCAGAAGTGGGCGGGCCCAGAAAGGGACAACTTGGATGAGTGTCCAAGACAATATGCACAGGCCACACATGTACAAGACACATGTGCAGAGCCCACCCGACTACAGAACCCGGGTACAGGACACGAGAAGTGTATGTGTTGCACGTGGGCGGGATTCACATGCAGAGTCCATATGTGCATAGGCCACATGGGTGTAACACAGGAACTGCATCTCCCCAAGCCGGGTTGGCTAGGTAGGGGGAGGGCTCCAAGCCCCAGCCAGCTAGGCTCCTCAGGGCTGCGGCTGGTACTGGCCCTCTGTGGCTGTGAAGAAGTCCTCCAGCACGCTGCGCAGGTAGTCAAAGGTGGGCCGGTCCTCCGGGAGCTCCTTCCAGCACAGCATCATAAGTTGGTACAACTCATCTGGACAGTTGTCAGGTCGTACCATGCGGTAGCCTTGCTCCAGGTTCTGAATCACCTCAGGATTGGTCATGCCTAGAGGTTGATGGGAGAACTGACATCAAGGCTCCAGGCTTTGGAAGCCCACAGGCAGGGGTGATGGTCAAGGTATTTGACAACTGGTATAGTATGAGCACCAATCCAAAGGGATCTTGGTCTTCATCAATGGTAAAGCTATACTCGTGGTAATTGCTAAATGTCAGTCGTGCCACTTGTAGTGTCTGCTATGGCTTAAACACTCGATAATGCACACATGTGGCTGTGAGACTTTGGGTGAGCCACGGCACCTCTCTAAGCCTCAGTTTCCTCATCTGGAAAATGGGATAACAGTAGCTCCTACCTCATAGAGGTGTTATCAGGATTGAAAGAGAAAGTGTATATATAGCATTGAGAATGCTGCCTGGAAGAGGAGATGCAGCATAAAGAGTACCTGTAGTGATGATTATTTGGTAGGGAAGGATGGAGTGGTCAGGGCCCAGGGCAGGATGGGGGCCCACAGCCAGGACAATGGGGTAGCTTCTCCAGCTTTTAGAACAGGCACATGAGATGCTGCATCAGGAATCCAGATGGACCCTGGACCCCAGCAAGGCAGACCCTGCATGGGGCAGAGAAGATTCACTAGGCCCCTCCATGATCCAGATGAAATCATTTTTGCGCCACTTCCTTCCCTTGGTGCTGATCCTGGCCCCCATAGTAGGCTCTTTGCATGTAGACCCCCAAGAGGAGCTGCTCTGGAGAACTGCATGGTCACAGCAGAAATATAGCTCCCTGTTTCTAAATTACCTGTATGGCCTCTGGTTTCTCCTTCATTCTCCTGAGAAGAGACTGTGACAGGCAGTCCCCAGAGCCTAACCCCTAGAGGGTCCTAGCAAAACAGAAGTTTTACTCCTACAAAGCTTCAGACTGGACCCTAGTCAATAGAGACCTCTCTTCCCCAGGCCTTTCCCCTGGGGGGCCTCAGATTTCAAAATCAGGACACTGAAGGACATAGGCCAGGGAACAAGGGTACAAACCTATTGGCTACACCCAGCCTAAATACAGCCCACAGCCCTACATTGGCTTGGCCCTTATAGTGTTCTTTTTTTGTTATTGTGTGTGTGTATATATATATATTTTTTCTTTTTTTGGCATGCGGGATATTAGCTCCCCAACCAGGGATCGAACCTGTGCCCCCTGCATTGGGAGCATGGAATCTTAACTGCTGGACCACCGGGGATGTCTCCCTTTTGGCATTTTTAAACAATGTGAATCATCACCAATATTTGGAAATGGGAACATTTTCCTAAAACTCCAAGTTTTGGCTTCTCTTGAAAAAACAAAGATCTGTTTTTTGGGCCCCCATGTCTTAATAGGAGCCATCTGCTAGAGAAGATTTAAGTTCACCCAGGTCCCCATTACTCCCCATAGTTTCCCTGACCCTGAAGCCATGTGTCAGTTGCCATTTATCATCATGCTTTCACTGCCTTTATTCTTCTAATAGAAAAATTCTCTAAGGGAGCACTGTGAACTCTTGGCAGGACAACGAGTGTGTTTCTAGCCCCGGCGCTGCTGCTGGACTCTGTGATGGGGCAAGTCCAGGGCAGGGAAGGCCTGCATACCCTCACCTGATTCTAAGGTGTCTTTACCTTCCCAGGAGCAAAGTACTGTGCACACTGATGGGGATGTAGGAAGCTTCTGCAAGTCTGGCCACTGTGCTCCATGACCTCCTTACCCTGTCTTTGTATCCTATTTCCTTTCCCCAGAGTTTCCTAGCAAGTTCCTTCCAAAAAAAATTTCATTCCTGTCTTGGCTGAATTCAGGGGTAAAGGACTGTCCAGGAGATAGAGGGAGGAATGGGAGAAGGTGGGAATTAGCTGTTTACACGTCTCTCTCACTCTACATGGAAGGCTTCAGAGGGACGGGAAGTCAGTGTTTAGTGAACACCTACTATGAGTCAAGCTCTTTCACAAATAATCTTCTTTCTCATATCATGAAACTGAGGCTCAGAGAGGTAAAGTCACCTGCCCAAGTCACTTGCCCATAGTGATTAATAATAAAACCTAACACTCCTGAGTGCTTCGTATGGGTCAGGTACAGTTCTAACCTCACGTTTTACAACTGGAGAAAAAAGGAATGATCTGATCAAAGCCAAACAGAAAGCATCAGTGGCAGACCTGGTAATAAGAAGCAGGCCTCTTACCTCCCAGGCCAGATCCTCTTCTACATATTAGGCTGCCAGTGTTAGAACTAAAGAAAAGAGCTGGGATTGTTGAGGGAAGAGACATCCAGAGACAGAGATGGAAACCAGGCCTGGGAGATGTGCACCTAATCGGGGATGTAGGAGTGCCACCCCTGAGATGATAGAGGAGAAGCAGCTAGAGAGTTTCAGATTCTTAGCCTGGGAAGAAGTAAGTGGAAAGACATGAATTTGCTGCCCTTCCCCATCACCCTTTCAGCTCCTGCCCTTGACCCTGACCTGGGTAAGGGATGCGGCCATGAGTGACAATCTCCGTCAGCAGGATCCCGAAAGACCACACGTCCGACTTGATGGTGAACGTCCCATAGTTAATGGCTTCTGGTGCTGTCCACTTAATGGGAAACTTGGCCCCTGGAGGGAGGAAGTGCGGTCACCCGGGTCTGCTTGGCCAGACCCTGCCGGCCGCAGACTTCCCTCGTGTCCCGTACCTACCCTCCCTGGCTGTGTACTCATCGTCCTCAATGAGGCGCGCTAGGCCAAAGTCTGCGATCTTGCAGCTCAGGGCACCAGACACCAGGATGTTGGCGGCCCTCAAGTCACGGTGGATATAATTCCGCTCTTCAATGAACGCCATGCCCTCTGCAATCTGCAGGCCAGGTACAGGTCAGCAGTCCTGGACCCAACCTCCTTATCCCACTGCCCTGTGCCCATGCCCGTCCCCTCCCCAGTCTCCTTACTTGGGCTGCCATGTCCAAGAGTTTGTTGATGGTCAGCTTGATGCCTGTGGAGGTCTTGAGAAAATCCACCAGGCTCCCTGTGGGCAGAAGCAAGAGTTGCTGACCCAAGTTGCCCCAGGGGAAAGCCCTCAGACCCTTCTCCCCTAACTGCGAGTCTAGAAGCAGTGTCTGATGTGTGGAAAGGAAGAGTAAAAGCTGAAAAAGGAGGAGTGTGTGTTCAGAGTGAGGATGCCCAGGATGTGTGATGCCCTTTTCCCAGGGACTAGGGGGCTACTTGGAGGGGTCTGCACGCTTCTTGTCACCAATGGGGTGGAGCCCAAACTCTTCAGCGAGTCATCCAAAGCCCTGCATGGTCCACATCTGTAGTTTCTTCTCTTCCTTCCACTCCTGCCTCTTTTACTCCACCCACCCTAGACAATTGTGAGATTTTCCACATAGACCCCTGGGTTCTCACCCCAAAGTCTCTTTGTCCCATGTCTCATGCTAAAAATTCTTTTTGTTCATGGCCCAGCTAGACTATTCCTCTAGAAAGCCTCTCTAGATCTACCAAGTATAATAAATTACATGATCATCTTCCTTCTCCATGGTATACTGGAACTTTCCTATGGCACAAACTCTGGTTTTCCTAGTGTGCGTACTGGTAGCAGCAATCAATCAATGTTCCCAGCCCACAGTAAGCAGCAATAAATGTATGCTGAATGTAGTAAATGGAATCTGGAAAGAGGTATCCTGGAGGACTGAGAGACCTCAGAGGGTAGCAGAGGGTAACTAGGAGAAGACCATGGATGGGAGTGGCTGGAACAGAGCTAGTGACCGCTGGTCCTTCTCAAGAGACTAAAACCCTATGTGAAGATGACAACAACTTGAGTGTCTCCACTATGAGTGCTGAATTAGTCACTGAAGGCAAAGACCTCACCCAGAGGCAGCAAATATGTGGACATAAACTGCCATTCCTTCATTGTATCCATGGCAGATCTTGCTAATCAATCCCGGTACTCACTTCCAATGAACCTCAGAATCCTTCTCAACACAGAACTCCAAGCAACTACCAATTGAAGGTGGTCCGCTATTTGCCATTTCCAGAATCCATTAGCCAATTAACAGCTTTTTTCCCTTCCTGAAAGAGGGACAGATCTTATACTCCCAAAGAATCAGAGCCAGATAACAACAAACTTACTAAGCTGTTACTATATGGAGGCCCTGTTTTAACTGCTGTATATGCATTAACTTTCATCCTCACAAAAACCCTATAAGGGGACTTCCCTGTGGTTAAGAATCCGCCTGCCAATGCAGGGGACACGGATTCGAGCCCTGGTCTGGGAAGATCCCACATGCCGCGAAGCAACCAAGCCCGTGTGCCACAGCTACTGAAGCCCGCGCGCCTAGAGCCCGTGCTCCGCCACAAGAGAAGCCACTGCAATGAGAAGCCTGCGCGCCACAATGAAGAGTAGCCCCCGCTCGCCTCAACTAGCGAAAGCCTGCGAGCAGCGACAACGACCCAACACAGCCAAAAATAAATTAAAAAAAAAAAAGGCCCTGTAAGAAAGTTGCTATTGCATTATTATCACTGTTTTACAGATGAGGAAACCATGGCAGAGGGAAGTGAAGTGACCAAGCCCAAGGCCACACAGTCCTGAAGCCAGGATTCTAACCCAGGCAGTCAGACTCTAGAGCCCTTAATGACTACTCTTATTTCTGGATAAGCCTGTTTAGATTTCAGCTGTTATTCTTGGGGGGACTGAGCATCAGAGGTGGCACAGGGACTTGGCCCAAAGCTGGGCCTAGAAATTCCTATTTACCTTCCTGGGGCTCTCAATCTGTCCGACAGTGGACTGAGGGAGGGGGAGGGGCTCACCCAGAACTGAAAAAGAGGGCTTTGGAGCACTCCCAAGGCTCAGGGGCAGAAGGGAGAGAGATGGGGCTAGGGACCTACTCATCTCCTGAGATCAAGCATCCTTAGATCAAGGTGGGGTTTGAAGAAGGCAAACAGGACTGACTGCAGGTCAGAGAAGAAGGGGGGGGGGGGGGGTGAATGCTCTTCCAGAGCCTGCCACCTCAAGCTGGGCTCCCAGACGGGGCTCGAACAACACACCCTCTTCTCCACACGCCCTATAGTCGCTCCTGGAAGTGAGTCTTTGGGGGCTCAGGAAAATTCCTCTAAAAAACCTCAGCGCTGAGCCAGGCCTATCTCCTCCGCCCTCCAGCAGGGGCAGAGGAGACGGCAGTGCCCCCCAGCGGCCGCGCACGGAGGCGGCGCTCACCATTCTCCATGTATTCCGTGATGATGTAGATGGGCTCCTGGGTGACCACCGCGTAGAGCCGGACCAGCCGCTGGTGTTGCAGCTGCTTCATGAGGTTGGCCTCGGCCAGGAAGGCATCGGGAGACATGCTGCCCTGCTTCAGGCTTTTCACTGCCACCTTCGTGTGCCCGTTGTAGTACCCTGGGGCAGGGAGGGGTTGGGGGAATCACTCGGAGCCCATGCCCCCAGAGCCAGGCAGCTGCCCCGAAACAGGGTACTGTCGTGGGACTCTCACGACCTTAGATGCCTCCCCTCCCCGTAGTCCTGGAGGGCCTCACTCACCCATCCACACCTCTCCGAACTGGCCAGCCCCCAGCCTCTCCACCAGCTTCAGCGTCTCCCTGGGAACCTCCCACTCATCCTCCCACCAGGGCTTCTGGGGCTTCTGGGTCTGGCAGGGGCGGCTCAACCTCGTGCACAGCCCGTCCGAAGAATCTGTGAGGACAAGGGAGGAGGGTAAAGCTGTGAATAAGGCGGGACTGGGGGTTGGGGCCCACCCAGTCCCCACCTGGGGAAATGGCCTGGCAGGGGAGGTGTGTGGAGCTGTCACCTGATCCCTGGGGCTCCAAGGTACCGCACCTCACCCACTGCGGGGGGAATGAAGGAGCATACTGAGAGATGGATGGAGGGTACCCCGAGAGGCACTGGGGGAGGCAGGCTGACAGGGCACAGGTGCTAACCCTAACCCTGCCGTGCTCACTCATGTAATGGCGGACCAGCTCATGCAAGCCAGGAAAAGTGATGCGGGGGGAGATGTAGAAGCCGCCTTTGTCCAGGTTACGGATCTTGTAATGTTTCACCACTTCTCCCTGGGTCTGGTCGAAGTCCCGGACGGACAGGGAAAACGATCCTGAAGAAAAGAAAGGGTGAAGGAGCGCAAAAGAGGGGGGCGGTGGCCTCCAGCGAATCGCACCTCCGCCGACGCGCCATACACACACACACACACACCCATCCCACACCAACCCCGCGGGCTCCTCGCGCCAGGACCTCTGCTCGCTGCCCCAGCCCGCGGCCCCGCCCCCCGCCCCCCGGCCAGCCCAGCCGCTCACCCGTGGTGCTTTCACTCTCTCGGATCAGGAAGGAGCCGTGCGTGTTCCCGGGCGCCAGGAGCTGCCTCTCCGCGTCCTTGCGGGTCAGGGTCTTGAAGAACCAGCTGAGCAAGGCAGAAGCGAGGGCTTCTTTCGTCTGTTGGTCTGTTCTTCCTCCATCACCCTCCAGCATTCACACCACCCCTAGCATCTCTCCTTTGCTCCGAGGTCCCTGGATCTACGCCCAGCCATCCCGCACGATGAGTCCCCACTCACGGTTCGGGCTCCAGGCTGTTCGCTCTGGCCACAAAGTTGAAGGGGATGTAACCTTCCTGGCCCGTGGTCACGGACTGCGCCTTCCACCACTCGCCGTTCCTGCGCGACAGCGGCGGTTAGCACGGTCTGCTCAGCCTTGGACTTGGCTGGAACCCCCCCTCGGAGCCCCCAGTTAGGCCACGCCACCCCACCCTTCAGCTCAACACTCCGAAGCCTCCCATTTTGTCTTAAGGGCACCCACTGCAAGCCAGATCAGGGACCGCAGGGGGGCTGCAGTACCGGAGATCCCCACTCCCTCACACTCTACCGCAGGGCAAGGATGGATGGGGTGAAGGGGACACTCACTGCTCCAGGATACGTAGCTGTTCACCCTTCTCGAAGCCCAGATCTCCATCGTGGGAAGGCTCATAGCTGTGCAGGGCGATAACCAGGTTGTCTGTAAAGACAGGGGGAGTCAGGAAGAACCTGTCTGGAATAGGCTGGGAGAGTGACTTCAGGAGTTACATGGTAGCCGACAAGACTGAGGGGGAAGGAGGAAGGACAGGTGCTGAGTAGGTGAGGAGATGGAAGCTGACAGCCAAGGATCCACAGGACTTCTCTTCCAGGCCCTGCTGGTTGAAGTCACCTTGCAGTGGAGAAGCTGGGGGGTTGGAGCCCTCGTAGGTGACCAGTGGATCCCGCACTTCAGAGCCATTCCAGGTGGACAGCTGTGGGGTGGGGTATAAGTGGAGTCAGAAAGCTGGGGGCTGGGTCAGACCCTGGCTTGCCTCCCCACTGCCCTGCTCTCCTTCACTTCAGCTTGGCTGGGTCTTATCACTGAATTTGCCAACCACTTGCTGCGTGACCTTATGAGAACCCCTTTCCCTCTCCGGGGTTCTTTTCCTTTCTGCTGCAGGGGAGAGGGCTCGCTGTTATCTCAAGGATCTATAGTGGTGGTCCGTTTCTCTTCTCCGGGTCGTACACCCACCCGACTCCCACACCAAGCCCCCTGTCTTGCCTCTTACCATGGCCTTGCCCTCCAGTGGAACTATGGGGTAATGGCAGTTCTCACACACATCGATGTTTTCCATCCAGTCATCTTCAGGGTTTGAGCTGCAGCTACAGCCCATGGTCCCTGGGGGAATGGAGAGGGGGCTGAAAGGGCTCCCCCAAGATCTACCCCTACAACATCAGACATGCTAAGGCCTAGCCCTGGGAACTTCCAGAAGGACCCGAGATTGGCAGCCCCAGAGCCCCCATTCATAAGCCACAGAAAAGCTGAAATGGGGTCCTAGCTCCCAGTAAAGTCACGCATGCCCTCCTTCTGAGGCCTAGGCCCCACCCTCCCACCTGGGCTGGGCAAACCGCCACAGGCACCTTTGTTAGTCTAGTTGCCCACTTCCTGCCTCTCCCCACTCCCGCTCTCTCTGCCCATCCCCCAAGTTGGGGGACTACCTACTAGAGATCACATACACTTCCCCAAGCCCTAGGGAAGACCTAAGTTTTGATCCTCCCCTACCAGAGGGGTGTGTGCACCCCGCCTCCTAATTACAATTCCCCTTTCCAGACGAGGAAGCTGAATATGAGACCCTTTCTCCCGAATGTCAGCCATCAGGCTTCTGCTCCCCCAAACGCCCCCGCACACGAAGCCTCCTTCAGAGGCTTCTTTCTGCTTCTCCCCAGCAGAAAACACTCCAGCGGCCCTCTTGGCCATACCTTTTACTCGTTTGCTTGCTTTAGCAGTGGAAACTTTTTGTCAGATGAAATCAAGCCGAACCTCATAGATCAAGCAGGTAAAAGTGGAGCTGTTCTGCCTGAAGCAAAATGTGGCGGGACCTCACTCTGAAGCTCCTGGGAATCCCTGCAGCACCTCCTCCCCTAGGGCTGCTCCTCAGGACTGCTTGGAAAGAGCAGTCCTCAGGTAAAGTTTAATTGAATTTACTGTGCATTCAAGAACCTTTAATATCAGAATCAAATCCACCTCCTCAGTCTATTCTGCTACACACACACACACACACACACACACACACACACACACATTCACACAGCCTGTGCTCTGAGCTAGTCTTCCCAAAAATTCTCGCTCTTTTCTTACAACGTGCATTTGTTTATGTGGTTCGCCTGCCTTGGAATGCTTTTGCCCATCTGTTGAACTCTAACTCAACCTTCAAGCCTCAACTCAGATATCACCTTCTCTGTGAAGCCTTCCCAATGCCCAAAGCTCTTTGCTCCTACAGCATTCCACTTAGACCACAATCATCAACTTAGGCACTGAGTGCCATGATTACGCTAATTTATGTGTCAGTCCCCCTGCCTCTCCTACCCCCTTGATGAGATGGGGGATTTATCAAGAGCAGAAGCTGTGTTTTATTTGCCTGAATGTCCCAGCACCCGGAGCTATTCTTGTTAATAAATGTTGACTGGTATGTGGAGGGTTGATGCACAGATTCTCCCATCTACAGAGGTCTTAGAAACCACCAGGTCTAACCTCTGATTTTAGATGAGCAAACAGAGGACCAGAAAGGCCTGCTTAAACTCACACAACTGTTTGGGGCAGAATAAAGCTAGAGTTGCTAATACATGCTCGGACCAAGTAGAAGTGGGGACCAGTGGTGGTTTTTTGGTTAGCAAGACTTAAGATCTGGGGCTTCCCTGGTTGCTCAGTGGTTAAGAATCCACCTGCCAATGCAGGGGACAAGAGTTTGAACCCTGGTCCGTGAAGATCCCACATGCCGTGGAGCAACTAAGCCCCGTATGCCACAACTACTGAGCCTGTGCTTTAGAGCCCGTGAGCCACAACTACTGAAGCCCGCGTGCCTAGAGCCTGTGCTCCGCAACAAGAGAAGCCACCGCCATGAGAAGCCTGCACACCACAACGAAGAGTAGCCCCTGCTCGCCAAAACTGAAGAAAGCCCGCACGCAGCAACGAGGACCCAACGCAGCCAAAAATAAATTAATTAATTAAAAAAAAAAGACTTAAGGACCTATGTCAATTATATCTTAATTAAAGAAAGAAAAAAAGATTCAAGGATAGGTCCCGGAGTTATGTTCAAATTCTGGTTCTGATAACTTACTGTGTCTCTTTGCTGAAATCATTCTTCCCCAGCCTCACTTTGCCTTTTCTGTCAACTGGGGATCGTCATCCCTTTCTCATAAGCTTAGATGAATGTTGGCTTGATTTAGAGCTGAGAAAAACTTATACCAGTGCACATTCTGCCCTACCAACCCCTGCTTTGGAGGGTGGGAGAATGGGACTGGTAAATAATCCTCTTGGCTTTAAGCTCATGTTTCTTTTTTTTTTTTTTTTTTGTGGTACACGGGTCTCTCACTGTTGTGGCCTCTCCCGTTGCGGAGCACAGGCTCCAGACGCGCAGGCTCAGCAGCCATGGCTCATGGGCCCAGCCGCTCCACGGCATGTGGGATCTTCCCAGACCGGGGCACGAACCTGTGTCTCCTGCATCGGCAGGTGGACTCTCAACCACTGCGCCACCAGGGAAGCCCTATTTTTTTTTTTAATTTTTATTTTATATTGGAGTATAGTTGATAAGCTTATGTTTTTTAAACTGAGATACTTATAACCTTTCATGGGTACCGGAAGTCACAGGTGTGTACCTCCCAAAGCATGAGTGTCAAACACATAGTTAAACCTTGTTCACGTAGTTAAACAGACATAGATCTATTACAAAAAGAGGAAAATACAAAATGTACATGGAATTTTAAGCCAAATCAAGAGACTTTCAAGGAAAGGTGTACACGCATATACTCCTCCCACTACTTTAGGAGTCCTGGGGAGACATTTGAGAAATCTTGCTCGGCTCTGTGGCTGCAAATGGCTTTTTAATTTTTTTGATTGCTAATTTTATTATGGCTAAGAACTGATCAGCAGCAAAAGCCTCCAGAAAAGTACTGATAACAACCTGGAACCAGCCTAAGATGAGCCGAGCTGTCTAGTAATGTCCTGAGCAACCCACTGTGATATTCAAATAGGCCTTGGAAAACCACAGGTTGGTTATATTACACAGAGAACACCAACATCAGATGAGGTGTCAACTTAGATCAGTAAGGTCCCTTCCAGGCTTGACATTCTCAGAGGCTTTGAAAAAGGGTAAGAGAAAGATGAGAAAAGTTTGGGGTTGAGAAAATGGGATGAACTGGGGTGCAGCAGTGAGGGGAGGCTGGTAGACGGGGCAGAAGGAACCTTCTGAAGGCTGAAGCTCATAAGAATGGAAACTGTACCTGTCCAGGCTGGGGTCACATGGGGAGGGAAAAGGAGCCACAAGGCCTTGGGCCAGCATCCAGAAGAGCATGCAGGCAGGACCTATACCCTGGATAAATCTCAGCCTGCCATAAAGGACTGGGGCCAGATATAAAAGAATGAAATATTGCCATTTGCAGCAACATGGATGGACCTAAGATTATCATACTGAGTGAAGTAAGCCAGACACAGAAGGACAAATATTATATGATATCACTTATATGTGGAATCTAAAAAATAATACAAATGAACTTATTTACAAAACAGAAACAGACTCACAGACATAGGAAACAAACTTATGGCTACCCAAGGGGAAGGGGGTGGGGGATAAATTAAGAGTATGGGATTAACAGATACACACCACTATATATAAAATAGATAAACAATAAGGATTTACTGTATAGCACAGAAATAACAAGGATTTACTGTATAGCACAGGGAACTATGTTCAGTATCTTATAATAACCTATAATGGAAAAGAATCAGAAAAAAAATGTATATATGCATAACTGAGTCACTTTGCTATACACCTGAAACTAACAAAATATTGTAAATCAACTCTATGTCAAATAAATAAATAAATAAATAAAAGGACTGGGGCCAGGAGCGAGAAAAAGTTAAGCTGTGTTAAATTAAGCCAAAAGGTACTCAGTAACTCTGCTGGGTATCTGACCCCCCGTGTTTCCTCTGTGGCTTATTTAGTGCACCTGGAGCCCTCCAGCTGCAGGTAGCAGGCCCTGCCGTATACAAAAGTGTGAGTTTTGGAGTATAGGGCCTGGCAGCAATCAGAAGACCCCAAGACCTGGCAATGCCAGAGGTTATTTTGGTGAGTGGCTCTCAGCCACTGGGAGCTACATGCTCCTATGAAGCCCGAGGATAATGTTGAAGGTTATTTCAATATTTCAAAAATCTGAAGGGAAATGGTACTATGATTTGTTTCTCAGTATGACAAATTGCATTATCATTTCTTCAATGCATACTTAGGTCTCTGATGAAAATTTGAACTAGAAAACAAGAAAATTAGTACCTAAATGAGGTCATTCAGTCAGCAAAACCCTCAAAATCATGGGATCCATGGGGGAAGAGGGGAAAAGTACAACAGGGGAAGGGCAAAGGAGTCCTTGGAGGGAAGAGTTGAGAAGCACTCATGTAAGTCACCAGCCTCATTTTAAAGATGGAGAAGGTGGAGGATCAGAGAAGGTAAGTGGTTTTCCCAATAGCAAGAGAGGGCTCTTGGCAGAGGCGGGACTCCAATCAGGCCCCACCTCCTTTTTCAAGGTACTCTACTCTATTCTTCCCTCCCTGGAGACTAAAGGGGGCAGGGAATCCTGAGAGGTCATGCAGACAATGGAGCAGGGAGGGAGGTCTGAGAGAGTGGGGTCCACTCTCCATCAAGATGTGATCATTGTGCTGTTAACAAAGGCCTTTTTCTCTAAGGCAGTTCTCCCTCTATTTGGAATGCATGTTTCTGAGTGTACATTTACCGGCTTGGTGAATACAAGTCAGCACACATTGAGGCATGTGAATCATTGAGCATCATGCTTATGTGTACATACCCGTGGGTATGTAGGAGCCCCTGTGTGCAGATGGATGTGCAACAAAATGGGGGCATGTATAGTTTGTGGGTGTCCCTATGTAATTGTGAGGTCATATATGCATGTATTTATTTGTACAAAATGTGGGTCCCATCCTAGTCTGATTCAACCAGGTTAATAAATGAGGTCGGCAAAAAGAAAATCAAAATTAAAGCTTATGGGCTTCCCTAGTGGTCCAGTGGTAAAGAATCCGCCTTCCAATGCAGGGGATGCGGGTTGGATCCCTGGTCTGGGAACTAAGATCCCACATTCCACAGGGCAACTAAGCCTGTGGGCACAACTACTATGTTCGTGCACCTCAACTAGAGAGCCTGCATGCTGCAAACTACAGAGCCCACGCGCCCTGGAGCCTCCGTGCCACAACTGGAGAGAGAAAACCCGCACACCACAACTAGAGAGAAGCTCACGCACCACAACTGGAGAAGCCCGCGCGCCGCAACAAAAGATCCCACATGCTGCAACTAAGACCCAACGCAGCCAAAAAGATAAAGAAAATAAATAAATTAAAAAAATTAAAGCTTAATATAAATTTCTCATAGAAAGAAAGAAAGAAAGGAAGGAAGGAAGGAAGGAAGG